CCACGTGACCGCACTGTGGTCCCAGGCGCCAGGCTTCTCATGCACTCCCAAGCAACTGGCTTCAAGAGGCAGTTAAATCAGCCTCGAGTCTCCCACAGCCCCTCCTCAAATAGACACCCAGCTGGCATTTTTCCTTAAATACCACTCATTTTTAAAGGGGGAAGAAATGTTGGTGGCATTGAAAGAGATCACACTTTAAAATGCAGAGTAGCGGCAGCGAGTCGGCTCAAATTATTCTCTTAATAGAGTTCTTCGGAGTCGGGAAGTGACGAGGGAGCATAATTGCTTCTTTTGTCATTTGGGCAAAAATCTCAGGCCTGCAATCCATCCATTTGTCTGCAGAAGTACTCACGCAAATTGCGGCAAGTCATCCTCTGCCAGGACGAGTGGGTTTTAGTTAAAGTCAGTTGTCTCCGGGGCTTGAGGGAGGGAAGGGGCTTGGAGCCCAAACTAATATGGTTTCTTTTCCTCTTTAAAAAAGAAAGGGAGGGGGGTTGAGGAGGTGGCCCGTGTGGTAAAGGACCTTCTGTGCAAGCAGCAGAACCTAAGTTCAGATACCCTACCCATGTAAATTCCACATCAGCACCGGAAAGCCGAGACAGAAAGAGTCCAAGGGCTAATTGTCCAGTCAGTCTAGCGGACAAGGTGAGCTCCAGGTTCAGTGAGAGACCGTGTCTCAGAAAAGCAATTGAGGAAGATACATTATGTGAGCCTGTGGCCACACACACACACCACACATGCACACGCACATGCACACACTGAAAAAATACAGCCGTATACAATGGCTCGTGACTGTAATCCTAGCACTCAGGAGGTAGAGGCAGGAAGATCCAGAGTTCAAGGCTAACCTGAGCTACATAGGTAGAGGCAGGAAGATCCAGAGTTCAAGGCTAACCTGAGCTACATAGCCTGGGCATTAAGACTCTCACAAAAACCAAAAAATATGTACATTACTTAAATTTACATTTTCTCAATTTGGTAATTAAGGAAAAGCCTATTTATAAGTAAAACTCTCCTGGCGTCTATTGGTGTTTAGAAGTGTTTGCATTCGGCCTCTTAGAGGCAGGGGGAGGATTTCCACAGCAATCCTGGTGAAGATGCTTCCTGGCAGCATCGATTTTTGTAGCTCAAGTGCGGTGTGTGTTTTGCATGAGCTTTTGAAAGCTCAGATAAATGAGATGGCTCAGAAAGCAGATAAAAAAAATATTAACAGGAGGAAATTATGCCCATCCACAAAAAGACAAATGCCCACTAATTCTTGGATTAACATTTTCGATTCCTGTGTTTTTATAGGAGGAGTTTCGCAACACTTACAATGAGAGCTTTGGTACACAGTGCCGCAGAGCAGGTGGAATGGATGAGCCTCGTTTGAGTTCTCAGATGCAGCCTGCTCGGGGTGGAGTCACTACCACGCCTGGGGCTGCAGTAGCACCCCATCCCCCACCCCACATAAAGCCCCAGCTGTCCCTACCCCCAGTGGTTCTCAACCTTCCTAACGTTGCAACATAGTCCCTTTAACACAGTTCCTCATGTAGGGGTGACCCCCAATCTTAAAATTATGTTCGTTCCTACTTCGTAACTGTAATTTTGCTACTGTTGTATGAATCTTAATGTAAGTATCTGTCATGACCCACAGATTGAGAACCACTGCCCTAGGGTGACATTGACCCTGTACTCTGGAGAGAAGTAACTTATGATTGACCAGAGGCCATTTAAATCCTAAAGAATTTACCAGATTATTTGATTCAAAGTCATTAGCTCTGGACTTCAGGCTCAGCTTGACCCAGGGAGCAAGCCTCCGCTGTGTCCAGGGCCAGTTTTCTCTGTCTCAGATTGGCCCCTCCTCCTTTCACTTTGGTGAGCTGGTGCTGGCAACAGGGCCTCCATCTACATAAGCAGTTGGCGTTTATCTTAGTTAGTGTTCTTTTGCTGTGGAGAGACACCATAACCAAGGCAACTCTTAAAAATAAAGCATTTGAGGGCTTTGCTGACAGTTTCAGAGGGTTAGCCCATGACCACCATGACGGGAGCGTGGTGACAGGCAGGCAGACAGCATGGTGCTGGAGAGGTAGCTGAGAGCTTTGCATCCTGATCTGCAGGCAGCAGAGAGAAAGGGAGAGGGGGAGAGGGAGAGGGGAAGAAATAGAGACAGACTGGGCCTAGATTGGGCTTTTGAAACCTCAAAGCCCACCCCCAGTGACACACCTCCTCCATCAAGGCCACACACACCTCCTAATCCTCCCCGAACAGTTCTAATCACTGGGGACCAAACATTTAAACATACGAGCCTGTGGGGTGGTTCTCATTCAGGCCACCATTGTGCCTGTGGGAGGTGAGTTTTACTTTCCCGACTGTCTCACTCAGTCCCCAAGGTCAGCTCTGGTCACCTTTGTGTGTGCCTGTGGTTCTGTCTGTCCCTCATTAATCTTTGTTTGCAGAGGAATGGAGGGCATGGAGGCCCACTCGGGCCAAGATCACATGGTCATCCACAGGTCTGTCCCAGAGCAGTGCAGGGGTCGGGAGCAGGGAGGGGCCTGGAGCAGGGAGGGGCCTGAATTGGTACTTTACTTGTAGCTGTGACAAAGTGTATACCTTAGAGGGGAAGAGCGCTGTTTGGATTCGTGGTTGGAAGGTTTACAGTCCATCATGGTGGGGAGACCATGGCAGATGAGCTCAGGGCTTCTTGACTTATTCAGTTTTGCATATCAGGAAGCAAAGACCTTGGGCTGGAAGCAGGTGCTATATATATATATGTGTGTGTGTGTGTGTGTGTGTGTGTGTGTCCCTCTAGGCCAGTGATTCTCAACCTTCAAGATGCTGTGACTCTTCAGTACAGTTCCTCTTGTGGTGACCCCCAACCGTAGAATTATTTTCATTGCTACTTATAACTAATTTTGCTACTGTTATGAATCGTAATGTAAGTAGCTGATATGCAGGATAGCTGATCTGCAACCCCTGCAGAAGGGTCGTTTGACTCCCAAAGGGGTCATGGCCCACAGGCTGAGAACCACTGCTCTAGGCTCATTTCCTCAGTGACCGGTATTCAAACACATGAGCCTATGCGAGACATTTCACACTGAAAGCGCAACCATGTTCTAGAGGGCAACTCAAGGGCTACCAAGCCCCCAACCTGAGGCTGCGGTGTGGATCCTCGCACCTTCTAGGCCAGCCTTGATCCCGAATTTTCCCTCAGCAAGCAACTGAGGCCTTGCAAGAAGCTTCTAGAAGAGGTGCAGGGGTGACTGTGGTGACATCGGGACTCAGGCGCCTCAGAGAAATTTGTCTCCCTTGGCTGAGGCTGAGACTTGCACATGGCTTGATCTTTACTGAGCACCAATGTGCCAGGGCCTGTCGGCCGGTGCATGAGGAAACCAGGGCTGCGCCTTCAAACAGCACAGAGTCAAATGATAGTGGTGTTGCCCCAGAGAGCCTGAGGCACTTGGGACATTAGCTCACCACCCCCTCACCTCTGCCTTTGTTCATTGTATTAATTAGAATTACATTTCGGTGGAACTGATGGAAAACCCAAAATAGCAATGACTTAAAGTAGAATGTTACCCCTGCCCCCAAGTCAAGGTCATCTGGGACTGCAGTACTGACTGCTGTTACCGGGGACTCGGGTGCCCCAATTCATCCTGAGTGGTGGCACCTACCTTGTGGTCCAAGATAGCTGCTGTGGCTCCAGCCATCATGACCATATTCCATTCAGACCATATTCCAGGAACAGGAAAAAAGACAAGACTGTCCCTTCTCTTTAAAACATATTTCCTAGAAATCACACGCACCACTTTAGCTGATAGCTTATTGGCCAGAGCTTGGTCACATGCCTGCACATGGCTGCAAGGTGGCTTGGTCTTTATTCTCATGGCCGTGTGCTCAGCTAAAAACACAGTAGCTCCTGTTTTTGTAGAAATCCAGGCAGAATAGACATTGGGGGAGGTTCCAGTCAAATCCATTCATGTTATTCTCCCTCCTTCCCCCTGCCTCCTTCCCTTCTTCCTACCTTTCTTCTGTTACAGATTGTGATGGTTAGCTTTCATTAGCAACCAACCATTTCTTCTCCTAGGAAGAGAGTCTCAGTGAGGGACTGTCTGCATTAGGCTGGCCTGTGGGCATACCTGTGGGGAATCGTCTTCAGTTAACTGAAGTGGAGAGATTCAGCCCACCGTGGGTGGCACAATTCCCTAGGCAAGCGGTCCTGAACCATATGGGCGTGGAGAAACTGAGCAGAATACAGCATGTGGGAGTGAGGGAGCATGCCTGCAGTCATTTCTGTCTGCTCCTGACCGTGGATGTGACGTGACCAGCTGTTTCAAGTCCCTGCTTCCTTAACAGTGATGGTCTGTAAGCCTGGAATAGCGAGCATGAGAGTTACAGGACGTGTGAGTTCCTCCTTGCTCTTCTGCGGCATCTGGCTGCTCCTGGGTTCTGTCTATTTCTATATAAACTTAGTACCAGCCTGCCAACTTCTGCAAAATAAATGAAGAAAGAAATAAAATCCAGTTGGGATTTTGATTGGGATTGCCAATTTTTATATTTTATATATATATATATATATTTTATATATAAATTTTATGACTGGATTTATAAGCCAGTTTGGGGACTTTTGACTTCTAAATAATTTTGACTTCCAAACCACAACTATGAGATCTTTTTCTACTTATTTAGAAATAAATTTATTTATTTAAAAATAAAATAAGCCAGGTGTGGTGGCACACACCTTTAGTCCCAGCACTTGGAAGGCAGACCTTTATGAGTTGGTCTACATAGGGAGTTCCAGGCTAGCCAATGATACCTAGTAAGACCCTGTGTCAAAAAGAACAAAATAAATATTCAGTTAATTTAATAGTGATTTCTAGCCAGGCAGTGGTGGCACACGCCTTTAATCCCAGCACTCGGGAGGCAGAGCCAGGCGGAGCTCTGTGAGTTCGAGGCCAGCCTGGGCTACATAGTGAGTTCCAGGAAAGGCGCAAAGCTATACAGAGAAACCCTGTCTCGGGAAAAAAAAAATTAATAGTGATTTCAATAGTTTTCTGTTTAATGTCTAAGTCTTGCAGGTTGTTGTTAAATTTGTATGTATATATTCTTTTTTATGCCTTTTCCAAGCAAAATTCTTCTGTAATTTCACTTTCGGAATGTCCATTGCTGGTGCATAAAACACAACTGAATGCCGCCACCTTGCTGAACTCTTTGCTCTGCCATGTTTTAATAGATCAAGTGTTTTATTTACAAGCTGTGCCACGCACAGAGATAGTTCCTCCTTTCCCACCACCAGCACGGCTTTCATTTCTCCTGTCTGCCTAATCGCCCTGTCTAGACTCTGATGTAGTGTGAGGTGGACAGCCATACTAGTGAACGGTTCTTCCGGTGGCTGTGACAGAGTGCCCGGTGGAAGCAACTGGGACAGCGGGGACAGCGGGGACTCACCTCCTCACATCGTGACGGAATAGGACATGGGCCAGGCTATACCTCTCATGGCATACCCCTAGAGACCCACCTCCTCCAGCCAAACTTTACCTCTGAAGATTCCACAGCCTCTCAGAACAGCACCACCATCCCGGGGTAAAGTGTTTAAACACCTGGGCCTTTAGGGAGCATTTGACATCCAAACCATGCAGCATCTTCATTTATTACTGGCCTCCAGCCATCCAGCATGACAGCTCTGGTCGTCTCCTGGTGTCGTCATCCCCCGGCACACACCTGTGGCCTCTCTGTCCGGTAGATGGAAAGGCAGGGAGGGGCGTGGGGGAGAGAAAGAAATGGTTGAAATTTTGAAATCTGAACTCGGTTCGGCTCTCAGGCTTCAGGATTAGGCTGAGGTAAGGATCGTAAGTTGTTTTCCCTTGGGCTTTTGAAATGGACCCAGTTTTTAGATTCCAGCATCCCCGAAGAGAAGCCTGGTGCTGTTCCTCACCCAATTGCTCAGGTAGATACGAGTGGTGTGTTTTTCTCTAGAAGCTCATAAGACCTGCTTTGTGTTCTCAGGTTTCTGAAATGTCACAGTGGCGAGTCTTAGTGTACATCCCCTCGGTCTGTTGTCCACTGTCCTGAATTATGTCTCTAGCTGCCGTCTTCTGTGTTTCTGGAGCTGCTGCAGTTGGGATGTGCTGTGGGTTCTGTGTCCGGATGTTTTCCTCAGCTCTATCTTCAACTCTCTGTTGTGGAATATTATTTTAAGGTGTGTTACTTTTGTTTATGTTGCATTTGTTTAACTCTGTGAAGCTGTGTGAAACACCTGATGGTCTAATAAAGAACTGGCCAATAGCAAGGCAGGAGAAAGGATAGGTGGGGCTGGCAGGCAGAGGGAATATATAGAAGGAGAAATCTGGAAGAAAAGGGATCGAGGAGCCAGAGAAGGAAGAGGACTCTAGGGGCCAGCCACCCAGCTACACAGCCCGCCATGGAGAAAAAGTGAGATTTACAGAGGTAAGAGAATGGGAAAAGCCCAGAGGCAAAAGGTAGATGGGCTAAGTTAAGAAAAGCTGGCTAGAAACTAAGCCAATCTGAGGCTGGACATTCACAGGTAAGAATAAGTCTCTGCGTGTGATTTATTTGGGAGCTGGGTGGCGGGCCTCCTAAAAAGAGAAAAAGAGTAAAAAACAAAAACAAACAATAACACTCTCAGATTAAGTTTTCTGTATCTGCTAGGTTGGTTCTCGTTGCTCTGTTCCCAGCAGCTTGTGGATGGGACATCCTTGTGGGTGGGTCCAATTTCTCTATTCCCCTTGGTTCCTGGGAGTTAGGGGCTGGCTAGGGCATTCCTCTGCTTCAGCATCCTTAGCCAGTCTCTAGCTCTTTTTTTTTTTTTTTAAATTTTATATATATGGATGTTTTGCCTGCATGTATGTATGGGCATCACACGTGTGCAGAGACCAGAAGAGGCTGTTGGGCCCCTGGAACTGGAGTTACAGTTTTTAGCTGTCATGTGGGTGTTGGGAATTGAACTCAGGTCCTCAAGAGGAGCGGCCAGTGTTCTTTACTGAGCCATCTCTCTAGCCCTCCCCTAGCTCGTAATTGATAGATTCTCTGCATGTCCGAGGGGCTCTAAAAATGATCCCCAGCCTAGCACCTGCCCAGGAGCCTTTGTGAGGATCAGATGAGTCTCTTCTGATGCCAGGGTACCTGACTGTGCCGCTGGAAACAAGGGAACCTTCTAGAGGCTAGGGCTGCAGGGAAGCCATCCTGGCTGCTCAGCCATCAGCATCCAACCTTTGGGCCCTCCAGAGTCCAGCTGACCCAGGCAAACCTGTAGATCATGACTGTCAGCATGGAGGTAGCTGGGGGTGGGGCAAGAAAGCAAGTGGAGTATGCCAGTGCCTTTGGTAGGGATGTGCTGGTGACTGTATGTTCATGTGTGTGCATGTGTCTGAGTGAGCATGCATGGGTGTGCATGTGTGTATGTAGAGGTCAGGGGTCAGCTTTGGGAGACATTCCTCAGGCACCATCCGCCTTGCTGTGGGAGTCGAGGTTTCTCCCTAGGATCTGGCCCACCCCTTAGGGTGGCCAGCACTCCCGGAGGATCTCCCTGCCTTCCATCAGCTCTGGGATTACAGGTGCATGCCACCAGCTTTTTACTTGGGTACTGGGGGATTGAACTCAGGTCCTCCTGGGCCGACTGAGCCATCTCCTCAGCTCCCAAAAGTGCCTTCTGAAGCCATTACTTGGGTCACATTTGCTATCATTGACGAAAGGAACACAGAGGAGGCGACCTACTGTGTCATAGAGGGCATCGGCACAGGACAAGGTGAAGAGCTGGACCCGTGTACCCCTCTACCATGGGGGGTCCCCACACTGCTCTGAAACAGAGCCTCACCCTCACCCTCTGTTTTCCTTCTGCTGACCCCAAAATATTCTGTCCAATCAAGCGTCCCACTGCCCTGATTTGCATTACTCTCCCTTACCTCAGCCGGGAGGCCGCACTGCCTGTCTCGAAGCCTATCAGAAATGATCTCTCCATCAGCATCGACCTCTAGGCTCCTGCTTGGGCTGTTGATCACAGGAGGTCGACTTAATCTGCTTAATTATTTGATTCAATCAGAAGTTGGCTTAATTACTTTCTTACTTCTCACCTCCTTTGAATCCATTCTGGAAACTGATTATGTCTTTAACACCGGCCCAGAGATAAGCGTTGCAATTGGGAAATGTAATTAGCCAAGGAAGACGAATGTGGGAGCTGCCTTTTGTCAAAGCACCATTAAAAGCCCCATCAATACCAAGGTGGAGGGGACAGCAGAGGTACTTTATTCCCCTGTGACTGGGAGGGAAGCCCCAGCTGCAGGTGGGATGAGAGGAACCTCTGAGCCCGAGCAAAGGCTCTTCCGTTCTCCGGCCAGCTGTCAGCCAAGATGCAAAGGTGAACCGGTCATGACCTTGCTCCCAACATCTCTCCTTTCCTGAAGAGTCCATACGTCACCATGAGGTCAGAGCTGTGGGATCCCGGGGAAGCAGTTATGGATGTCACTCCTGGGAGCTTCACAGAATTGGTAACAACTGAGCCGGGATTCAAAGAATGGACATAGGAGGGCAGAAGGAGTTAGGGAGAGTCTGGAGTCTCCCAGGAGGGAGCTGAGAAAGATGCCTAGGCCCTCAGAGACCTCAGCAGGCCTTCCAGAACACACTAGGAGTGGCCTCAGACATCTGGTTTTGCCTTCCTACCCTCCTCCCGTCTGTCTTGACTAACTTTGTCTCACTTGACACTTCCTGGGGAATTCTCTCAGAATGCTTGTCTAATGGAAGTTTAAGTTGTGTGGCCTTTGAGGAGACTCTGGGCCATCTGAGATAGGGGACAGATCTAGGGCCATCAGGGAAGAGTAGGTGTGCCCATGTGAGCTGGAGAATCAGAGTTCAGGAGGAGGGGAGTCTGGGTAGATGGCACAGCCTGGGCAAATTGAAGCAACTGCCCATGATGCAAGGGGCGGGTGCTGACCTGCTTAGGCAGAGTGAATCACAAAGGCCCTTTCAGCAGCCGCTGAAGAGCAGTCACTGGACTGTGACCTCTGTGATGGGGCTGTGGGCATGCAGCCCTCGTCACAGCTGGAGCCACAGTGGCTGTGGCAGCCCCGGCATGCCAGTCTTGGAGAACACGGCCTTGGATACTTGAATCGCAGCCAGCACAGAAGCTTGGCTGGGCTGCTGTGAGCTGGAGAGGATGCGGCCAGGTGGCTTCTACACCTGTTGGAGGGAGGGGCTCCCCCTCTCCAGGCCAAGGAAAGGTTGAGTACCACGCCTGTACCCCTGGATCTTGTTCACCTTCACCATTAGCCGTCCGAGCATGCAGCCAAGAATGACTGAACTCAGAGAAGACGCCAGCCCCACCACGCTGGGTCAGTGGTTCTCAACATGTAGGTCATGACCCCCGGGAAGTTGAATGACCCTTTCACAGGGGTCGCCTAAGATCATCAGAAAAACACACGATATTTACATTAAGATCCATAACAGTAGCAAAATTACAGTTATGAAGTAGCAATGAGATAATTTTAAGGTTGGGGGTCAGCACAACATGAGGAACTGTGTTAAAGGGTCACAGCATTAGGGAGCTGGAGAACTCTTGTGCTGGGTCCTCTGTGGCCAGATCCCTGTCTGATCCACACAGACTTCTCGATAAAGTGATATGTATGTTTAATTTTCTTGAGACTATCAAACACAAGTACCGTATTTACATCATGTCCACCCCTCTCTTCCAACTCCTGCTGTATACCCCCAACCCCCTCTCAACTTCATGACATCGTCCTCTTGTTATTGTTACACGCGCGTGTGTACACACACACACACACACACACACACACACACACACACACACACACACAAATACAACCCGCCGAGTTCACTTAGAGTGGCTCATATGTGTTTATGTTTAGGGGTGGCCATTTAGGACTGGATAACATGTCAGTGGGCACATCCCTGGAGAAGACTGATTCTCCCTCTCTCAGCCACCATTACTTGCCTGTAGCTCCTCATCTAGGGGTCAGGTCATCTGAGATTTCCCTCCTCCATGTTGTCATGTCAGCTGATGTTGTCTTGTGTAGGTATCAATCAGTCAGCCATCTTGTTGATATTTCTTGTCATATACAGAAGATACTTCTGGGGATGTCTTTCTGTATGCTGTGAATGTGTTGCTCTGATTGATTGATAAATAAAATGCTGATTGTCCAGTAGCCAGGCAGGAAGTATAGTATAGGCGGAATAAGCAGAGAGGAGAATTCTGGGAAGTGAAGGCTGAGTGAGGAGACGCTGCCAGCCACCGCTGCCGCCAGCCGCCACTGCCATAAGAAGTAAGATGTAAAAGTACTGGTAAGCAGCCGGGCGGTGGTGGCGCACACCTTTAATCCCAGCACTCGGGAGGCAGAGGCAGGCGGATCTCTGTGAGTTCGAGGCCAGCCTGGGCTACCAAGTGAGTTCCAGGAAAAGGTGCAAAGCTACACAGAGAAACCCTGTCTCGAAAAACCAAAAAAAAAAAAAAAAGTACTAGTAAGCCACGAGCCACATGGCAAGGTATAGATGTATAGAAATGGGTTAATTTAAGATATAAGAACTAGATAGCAAAAAGCCTGCCACGGCCATACAGTTTATAAGTAATATAAGTCTCTGTGTGTTTATTTAGGTCTGAGGGGCTGCAGCCCGGGTGGGACTGGAGAAAACTCCAGCTACAGATACTTGCTCTGCAGATGTCCAGTGACTCTTATGATTTGTTTGTTCCCTCTTTCAAAACTGTTCCCTGAGTGTCAGGTCCAGGGGGTGTGTTGTAGATGTACCGGCTGGGGCTGGGCACCCTGCGGTCAGCTGTTCTTGACCAGTTGTGGCTTTCTGCCATGGTCTCTGTCTGCTGAAACAAGAAGCTCCTTGGAAAACGGGTGGGAAGCACACTTGCCTGTGGGTATACGGGAATTAGGTGCAGTTAGGTAGTTATACTGGCTTAAGGGTCTGGTGGTAGAAGGGGAGAGGTCCTTGACCCTAGAGGAGAACTTTGTATTGTCATTTACCCTGCATCAGCCCCTGCTTTACTGTGCAGTCTTGGGCAAGTTGCTAAACCTCTCTGAACCTGTCATCTGGACATGGAGGTACCGCAACAACCCATGCTGTAAATTGTTGAGGATCGAGAGGAACATTTTCAGTGTCATACTTCCATGTAGGGGTCTTCACACAGATGGTGGCGACAGTTTTGGAAGTAGCTAGACCCAGGTCAGGTGACTGCTGAGTAAGTAACCGGCTGGCCTTGGACGCCTGTCATTTAACTTCCATGAGCCTCAATTTCCTCCCCTGTAAAATAGGAATAATAACTAACAATAATTAATAACTGTGAGAGACCCTTGCCATGGTCCAGGACACCAAGAACTTTCATTCCCGTGGGCAGCATGAGGATCCCTTATATCACTAGATAGAGCGGTGAGGAACCTAGGGAAGCAAATGGGTGAAGTCTGGTGTCTTCTGATGAGTGGGTCAGTGGGTGCCCTGGTGTGTGATGGGGTGGCCTGGTTCCCAACCCCAGATTCTAGGGACCAAGCAAAGCATTCTCAACCCTGCTCCTAGCTGGGGCAGAAGAACCACCCTTGGCATCAAAATGACAAGGGATGGCCCTGGGTCCTGTGGAAATCTCCCATAGTCAGAGAGGCAGCTTGTCACCTGTCTGTGGGGGCTGCAACACTCCTGGGCCAGAATGTGGGGTGCTCCAGATCCGAGGTCGGGCTGAGCCTCAGCCACCACATAGGCAGATTTAATCCCAAGCGACTCCAGCCACCCATGCTGGCAGAGCGCTCAGTGCTGATTCTTGAAGGCAGCATGCTTGTGTGGATCAGAGCTTGGCAGAGGATGCAGCGAAGTGTTTGGGGCCTCCAGAAGACATGACAAGTTTTGATAACACAGTCTGCCTGACATGTCTGAAAATCAGGCGAGCATCTTCCTGGCAGGGAGGGTGATTTCCTGCTAATGAGCTGCGAGAGGCTGAGAAGCTAGCCTGGGGGAACTGGGCCCTCTCCTTCCCCGGGGGAGCAGCCTGCAGTGGAAGCCTGCCTGACCTTCCCGTCTTAGCCCCCCTCCTCCCCACCGCCCCCCAGGGAGCCTTAGCTACCTCTCTGGTCTGCTGAGAGGTAGAACTAATGCTTGGAGTGAGTCTCTCTCTGGGTCAGGACCAGCAGTGAACCTGGGCTCCTCTTCCCTCAGCTGGAGCTACCCCCTGCTTTCAGGGAGCATGCACAATCCTGTTCAGCAGCCTATGGCTCAGAGACCCAGGCCAGAAATCTCAGTGATGGACATGGGCGGACCTCCAATCTTGCCCTCCCCACAGGGCACTTCTTGTACTTGGGGTCCTATTGAGCCTTCACAGAGGTCTGTGAGAGTGAACCTGAGAGCTGCAGGCAGGTGTCTGAGGCCAGGCCATTGGTGGGCATATGTGTATAAGATCAGGTTAGCTGCTATAATAGGTAAACCCAGAACTCTCAGGACATCAAGGCAGCAGCTTCTTACTAGTCTCACTCATCTGAAAGCAAGCTGATGGAGGAGGGGGTGTCTCTTCTGCTGCTCACAGGCTCTTAAGGACTCAGGGTGTTGGAAGCATGCTGGTGATTCCCACGGTCACCTGACTTTGGAGAATTTTATGGGCCAGGGCACCTGGTGGCATATGGAACTCATACCCACATTCTCTTGATCAGAACAGCCCCAGGTCCCACCGAACTGCAGACTGAAGCACAGACCTTGTCCATGTAGCAGCCTTGCACCTCTCTGTACGAGCTCTTGAGAGGGCATCCCTTCAGCAACATCTAGGGACCAGGGTGAATGTCCTTAGTGTGTGTGAGCAGCATGCAGTTTAGTTGAGAGCTGGGAGGGGACATGTCATGTGGTTCTGGATCCTGCAAAGAGCCTGAAGTCACGTTGTCCACTGTCTCTGCACCCTTCCCAGCAGCTCCACCCTGCAGCCATACTTCCACATTCCAACCTTGTATTTACCTCAGAGTCTGAGACCCTCAGCCTGCACCCATGTCCGGCCCCCTCCAGCCCCCTCCCTGTACACACTCTCTAAGTGATCACCTCAGGGCCTTTGCACGTGCTGGAGTCCACCTGGGATGGCCTTCCTCCAACTTGCCACTCTGTACATGTCTGCTCTTCTTCTTCATCCGCGTCCAAGGTCATCTCAGGCTTCCCGTCTCGGTGGACTGTTCAGCCCAGCATGTATCAAGGGCTGCCTGAGTAGCAGGTGCTGCCATAGCTACTGTGTCGGAGTAAACTCTTTTATGGGCCAACCCACTTCACAGATGGAGAAGTAGAGGTCCCGGGGAGATGCAGGAAACCATGTAAGTTCCTAGAGTAGGGGCAAAGTCCCAGACCAGGGCAGAGCCCACCTGTTCCCACTACCTGTCACAGCGGCTCTCGCTATTCTTTTCTGAGACCTTGCTGTCTTCCTGAGAAAGCAGCTGTGGGGAGGGGTCAGGCTCAAGCCATCATGGACACTCTCCCTCCAGGGCTCGCTGTCCCTGCCACCTCAGTCTGAGGTGGTGATGATCTCTCAAATCCTTCGTCCCCTGAGACACAGACCAGACTCAGAAACCCCACAGATCACGTCTGCCATAATCCTCTCCCGGCTCGCTGATGGTTTTTGCAAGTTACCCTGGAGCATTCGGAGATGATCTGGGGGCCAGCGCCCGGCTTCTCCGCACTTGATTACTTCCGATGGTGTCTTAATGACTTGAGCTAAGCCTTCCATTGACTGGCAAAAGCAGACCTGCCATCTATTTCTAAAACACTCTGCTGCCAGCGCCAAGCTTGACAGATACCCAGGGCTTTGCCTGTGGAGAAGCGCCCTAGCTGGGGTAGCCTCGACACCCTCCCTCTCATTTCAGGGAGGTTGCTCTGTGCACACTGTGAAGCGGAGCAGACTTCTGGCTCTTGCTGCGTCCGTGAGTCGCCCCGGCCCCCACCCAGCCCAGAAGCCCTTGGCACCCAGAAAGCCGTTCAGGCACCAGC